TTCTCTCTATTACTATGCAGATGATCAATTCGGTAGATTCCGACTAAACGTGACAAATGCAGGAATAAAAAACAACGCGCCTGACGTAATCGTTGGAACTGCCATCCAGTCCTGGCAACCAGGAGTTTTGAAAGTCAAGTTTCAGGGTGGTAAGTCCATTTCATTTTTTTATCTACCGATATTGAATGCAGAAGACGCGAAAATGTCTGAAGCCGTGGGAAACCTCAGTTTATGATGATGAAAGAATCACGCGTCCGCGTAACTTTCATCAGGAACATTGCTTTGTTGCTGGAAGTGTACTTTAAGCATTGCATTTATAAGTGTTGAATTCCCCGAATGAGCGGTTCTTTGAAAAATTCGCGAAATTGGAATTTCAATAAGTTGAGACGACGGTTCCCTGTGGCTTCAAGAAGTGAAAGTAGACGTTTCGTGACATTCACCGGTGAAGTTGCCGCTAGGAATTCAACGCGGCTCAAGGACGCGGACATCTTGCTTTTTCGCCCTACACTTTCACAGAGCGTGTACTAAGCGACGCGCAGTTTTTCCAGCTGATGTACTGTACTGTACTTGACTGTACGTTCATATGCTTCTCATAGTATTGTATTTCTTTTTTCAGCTCCCGTGTATGGAACATACAAAGTGCTGGATACTGACTACACCAGTTATGCCAGCGTGTATTCCTGCATCAACTTCTTCTTATTTAAGATCGAATTCGCGTGGGTTCTGACTCGTGATACGATTCCAACCCCGGAAATTTCCGCCATGGCAGAAAAAGTGTTCACTGACAGAAATATCAACACTGGACTTTTTGTCAAAACTGTACAAGGTGATGCTGACTGTAACTACGTGATTCCTGAAGACACCCAGGGTTGATTCCTCATGCTTAATATTTTTGTGACCATATTATCTATGATCCTATGGTGATGTTGACAGAGAATGCATCCATCATGTCTATATGATCTAATTGTAATAGGTTTTAGACTAACATACATGAATTGAAACTGCTCTACAACTATTAGTTGAACTATTTTTGAAAAACTGGAATAAAAGGCATTTTTGTGGATATGTCCCTGCAAATAATTTGGGCGTTTCAAAATGCGTTTTATACGCATTTCTAGCCAAAAATGCTACGCATTTCAAACCTCTCTATGTTACGCCTACTCGGGATTTTAGTTAATGCATACCTTATAGGCGTTTCAAAACGCCCTCTAGTTACAGCTAGGTATTTATCCAGGCGTAACTCAAGTTACGCCTGGATAGGATTGATTATAATGCAGAAATGCGTATGATACGCATTTTTCAACAGGAAATTTTTACAAAGAAAACCACAAAAAAATATTCTCACCAAGACAGACTGTGCTCAT